GGAGTTGGAAGAGAGAGCTTCCCAAATGGAGACCTTGGCTTGAACAGTACACCAGGGAGACAGCCAGCAATCCAGTTTAGAGGAAAATAGGAAGAGTCTGGGGAAAAAAGGCAGAAGACCTCAAATGCAGCCACTCAGAGGCAGACCTTGGAGATCAAGCTGTATTTAATTAGAGACAGTCAGAAAACACTGAGCCAGAAGGCATGGGAATAATACAACCTATTATTCTATACCTATAATTTTCATTAAAATCTTTATTAATAAACTTAATAAATGAACAAATATTTGAAATTGGCTATTTCAGACCCCATCAGCTATTTTTTTTTTCATTTTTTGATTATTGTTTGGTTTTGTTAGTAAAAAAAGCAAGGGCCTTACACATGCTAGGTGAGTACTGTATCATGAGCTACCTCAGCCTTTGTTTGTTTTGTTTTTCAAGACAGGGTTTCTCTGGGTAGTCCTGGCTGTCCTGGAACTTGATATGTAGACCAACCTGGCCTCAGATTCACAGAGATCCACCTGCTTCTGCCTCGCAAGTACTGAGATTAAAGGCAGGTGCCACCACCTGGCTACATCAGCCTTTTATCCCTTTTCTTTTCTTTCTTTTTCCTTTTCTTTCTTTTTACTTTGAGACAGAGTCTTACCAACTTTCTTAGACTGGCCTTGACCTCCCCCTGTGTCTTCTAGAGAGGCCTTGAACTTGATCCATTCTTCAGTTGATGGGCATCTAGGTTGTTTCTAGGTTCTGACCATTACAAATAATACTGCTATAAACATAGTTGAGCATGTATCTTTGTGGTATGATTGAGCATTTCTTGGGTCTATCCAAGAGTGGTATGGCCGGGTCTTGAGTTAGACTGATTTCCAATTTTCTGAGAAACTGCCATACTGAACTTGAGATCTTCCTGCTTCTGCCTCCCACGTACATGGAATGACAGACTCGAACCCATGCCTTCCTTCAGGTAATATTTCATCTGCTGTTTATGAATATCAAAATTAAACTACGGGGGCTGGAGAGATGGTTCAGTGGTTAAGGGCACTGGCTGTTCTTCCAGAGGTCCTGAGTTCAATTTCCAACAACCACATGGTGGCTCACAACCATCTGTAATGATATCTGGTGCTCTCTTATGGGGTACAGGCAGAACACTCTACACATAATAAATAAACCTTTAAAAAAACTAAGCTAGCCAGGCAGTGGTGGTGCATGCCTTTAATCCCAGCACTCGGGAGGCAGAGGCAGGTGCATCTCTGTGAGTTCAAGGCCAGCCTGATCTACAGAGTGAGTCCCAGGACAGGCTCCAAAGCTACACAGAGAAACCCTTTCTGGAAAAAGCCAAAATTAATTAATTAATTAATTAATTAATTAATTAAAATAAAAACCCGGAGCCTGATACTGGGGTAAATTCTGAAAGATCAGAGAGACAAAGGAACAAGCCACTGCCACATCTCACCTCGCCAACTCCACGAATCCTCTGACTGAAATCCTTAAAGTCCTCACCCAAAAAGCTCCAGCCCGAAAAGACTCGAGCTGAAAGGGCTGCTTCTGTGGAACAGCCTTTAGTTCCTGTCTCCTCCTGCCTTACATTCCTTTCTCTGCCCAGCCATCACTTCCTGTCTCAACCTTCCTAATGCTGTGATTCAAGGTGTGTGACTTCCAAATACTGGGATTAAAGGTGTGTGTCACCACTGCCTGCCTTCTGTGTTTAATCTAGTGGCTTGTTCTGTTCTCTGATCTCCAGGCAAATTTTATTAGGGTACACAATATATCACCACAAGTTCCCATAGCACTTTGGATAAAATCTGAATCTTTACCATTCATGATCTTTATATTCACTGTGTACTCCTACCAGACAAGAGAAAAATAATTGGCTTCAAAATAATGCAAAATCAGAATTGACAAATGGAGTTGGCAAGATGACTACCTGGTAATGCACTTGCTGCCAAGTCTGATGACCTGTGTTTTATCCCAAGAACCCACATGTTAGAAAAAGAGAAGCAGGCCCAGGGCATGGTGGCACATGCCTTTGATCCCAGCACTCAGGAGGCAGAGGCAGGTGGATCTCTGTGAGTTTTTGAGGCCAGCCTGGGCTACAGAGCAAGTCCCAGGACATACAGAGCTGTTACACAGATGTCTTAGAATTTCTATTGCTGTGAAGAGACACCATGACCATGGCAACTCTTATAAAGGAAAATATTTAATTGGGGTGACTCACTAATAATTCAGAGGTTCAGTCCATTATCATCATGGTGGGACATGGTGGCATGCAGACAGACATGGTGCTGGACAGATAGCTGCTACATATTGATATGCAGGCAACAGGAAGTACACTGAGACACTGGGTGGTATCTTGAGCACATATGAGATCTCAAAGCCTGCCTCTACAGTGACACACTTCCTCCAAAACCACACCTACTCCAACAAGGCCACACCTACTCCAACAAGGCCACACCTACTCCAACAAGGCCACACCTACTCCA